GCCACCACCGCCACCACCGCCGCCGCCACCGCCACCTCGATGGTGACTCGCGGATGTCGCGATGCTCTTCGCCTGCAGACCGTCCAGATGCGCGGGATGCAAGTGATGTGGGCTCTGCGTTGGGCTTCTGTATTCGTACGCTGACGACTTGTGCTGCGGCGCCACCGACTGGACGTTCATGTAAGGCATTATCTTAGGGCTGGACGAGTGTTGTTGCGGTGCCGGTGTCTTCGGTAGCTCTCTGCCCTCATTTTTCACAATTACCGAACTCTTGTAATCCGGCAATAAGGATGGTGGGTTCTGTAGCACCTCTCTGCCATGATGGTCCCTCTCGAGGCCGCCGGCCAACCCGCTCTTACTCGATAGCGACTTGTGCGGTCCTATCTCGTTCTTTAACTTGAGATCATGCAGATATGACGTACAAGATGGCTGTGGCTGATACGTCGACGAGTAGTTGAACAGGTTCACATTCGGCTCGGCTTTCGGTAACGAGCTGTGCGAAACCACCGACGATTTCTCGTGCAGACCGGCAACCTGCAACGACGACTTTGACGTCCGTGAGTGCGCCGGTGGTGGCGGGTACTCCACTTTTCCGGACACGTTCAAAGGTCGAACCTGAAACATCGTGATACATTTATAGAATGATCCATCGCTGCAAATTACATAATGCTCAACATAATTTTCTACTTTTAATAAAATAATTAATAAAGGGACTGAGATACGTAATGTATAAAAACTCGAATATGTCTTCTATTTATCGCATTTAACAAAACCCACACGAAAAGACTAATTTTACTGAAGTAAAAATTTAGCTAGATACGGATCCGAAAATAATTTTGTTGAGCATCAAAATGATTATGTAGAAAATTCGAGCATGACGAGCAATTCTGCGAAAAGTTGTGACACTTTAGCAACCAGTTTGAGTATCCTACATAATTATTTTAATGGTTCAACAAAATTATTTATGTATCTAGCTAAATTTTTACTTCAACAAAATTATTCTTTTTGTGTGAGTGTCCAACAAATTTTTTTTCAGATGTAGGAGTTCATCCAATCTTCCCCTCACCCATTTCGCGTGGAAATCGCGCAGAATTGCGTACCTGTTGAGCCGACGGTGCCGCGGCGGCCGCCGCGTAGTAGGCGGCCCTCTGCTGCGCGGCGTGATCCCTGGCTTCGGCCTGCCGTTGATGCCTTTCAGTCCGCCAGGTGTTCCCGTTGCTCCCGCTCGCGGAAGTCCCGCTCCCGCTCCCGCTCCCGCTCGCGTTCCCGCGCCTCCCGTTCCTCACGTTGTTGCTGCTGCTGCTGCGCGACGGCGGGATGCGCGGCGGCGGCGGTGGCTGCGGATCCGCCCGGTGGACCGCTGGGATGACCGTGGTGGCTGGCGGGAGGGTGAGCCGTCAACGCCCCGTGCGTCCTCGGCGGCGGTACCTGCATGAAAGCGCTCCATCCAGTCATCGAGGCCGACTGCATGTTCCTCTGCGGGACATAAGATACCTACTTCAATCAATACTGCCAATCATTTTCGTCGCTTATCGCTTAACGATTCATCGGAGATACGATTTGCGACGAACGTTTCTTCGTATCTCGCATTTTATCTTAATGATACGGTCTACAAGATTAATTTCCGAAAATTTGAAAGGCATTGTGTGAAAGGCATTTGAAACTTGATAAAAAAAAAATGATAATATTATTCTTCGATTATCAACAATGCTCTCATTAATACTTTTTTAATAAATTTAATATCAGTTATTAGAGAATTTAAAGCGCGGATTAAAGGATTACGATTTTACATTTGTGGCTTCTTTCTATATATCATAAATGTGAGATAAAATGCAATATTTGCGTGGATTATGTTTTTCATATACGTAACATGTACATACATATATACACGTGTGTGTATCAAAGCTATTAGATCTATAATATATTGTGAAGTGGAACGCGCAGAATTAGCATGGCTGCGATGTTGATTATAAAACTTAAAAACGGTGATTCACAATATTTACAAAAAGAATTCTGAATACAAATTTTATATTTATGGACTCTGCATTTCGCACGTCCTCCATACACGTTCCAAAGTCAATGTTTATCGTTATATTCCGTTGTTATGCAGATATCGCAGACGGCGCGTCATTCAATTGTCGGGCAAGTAACGAGCAAACACAGACGGTGCGCAGCGGTGTCACGCGCGTGTACAATAATTATTGTCCATTACGGTCGTCGAGAAACACGCGGCACGGTAAAAAAAGCCGTCACGAATACGATTTTAGTGTCGTTCCGACGATGTGATCGCCGATTCGATTCGCGGTAACTCACGCACCTGACGAGTGCGCGTCCGATGGAGAATCACGCACTTGCGCGATTTCCCCGAGATAACATCTGCCATTCACGTGATTGTTCCAAATTCTTCATCAGCGAAAGAGTTCTCATAATCGTGTGGAGATACGCGGTAAACGTAAAGCGCTTATTATAACTTACCGGGGACTTTCCGCGTGTGTCATCGGATCGTTCGATTCATGCGAGTTAACTTTTTCTTGCTTCGATTCGCATCATATTAACTTTGCGCACGATAACATCGACCGAGAATTTATACCGCCATTAAAATAGTGCCGCGACATCTTTTATATACATATGTAAATGGAGCATTTAAAATGGTATAAGATATTATCTTTGAAAATATGCGTCACGAGTCAAAATATGTTCAGACAAAGTGGTATGATTTCAAGAGAAATATAAATAATGAAGAAACCTCTTTAAAAAAATCAAATTTTCAAAGTCACATAGAGGTCGCCTCCACTTTTTCAACTGGAATGATATTTTTTTTTACATAATATGATTCCTTTAATTATTTTGTATACAAAAGTATTAAGGTAGAAATACTGAAAAATTAATAGTTTACGAGATATATTATATTTTATTCTGGCATATTTTAACATAAACTATAAAATATCTCGTAAACTATTAATTTTTTGACAAACGTACTTTAACATCTTTCTGTACAGAATAACAAGATGAATTAATTGGTTTAAAGAAAACATATAGTTGCTTTTCAAAAATGGTATTTATAAGTTACGTAACTTTGTAACACTTTAAATGCCTCACCCTATACATATACACACACATATATATATATATATATATATAAAGTTGTTCGATCAACGATAAAAAAATGCAATTCTGTAATTCCTAAAAATTCGATATGCAAACACGATTCCACGTGGCGAGCACGAAATTAATTCATTTGCTGAGTTCGTGACAGGTATCGAGTTACATAACAGTTTGTGCGGAAAACACGAGAGGCGAAGTTCGAAAAAAGTGAATTGGAGCAATGTCCAGTACTATATCAGTAAGAAAGAAAGGCACGAGATACGCGTGATTAACGTCGAGATAGCGCCTGGATCGACTGACTTCGTTAATGCCATCGGCATGGCGCCGTAAGAGGCCTCGAAAATAACTCGTCGCGAAGTTACCGGACGAACTTCGACGTGTAACTAAGTAATTTCCCCGGGAGGATCAAACAAACAGCTTCCGCTCGTTGCCGACGCTCGTCGATTTAACTCCGCGAAGAACTCGTTTCTGGAACGACTGCAAGGTTGTAAATTAATGTAATCAAGTAACCGACAAGTAACGAAGCAAAGGGGGACGGTAAATATTGTTTTCCTGTTTTCCCCGAGATTCGAAATCTCGGTAAATACATCAGTCACCGAGTTGCAGGCAATACCTTCCGAATTCGCGTTGCAATTTCTCTCCAAGAGTTTATAATTTGCTAAATTTATCAACTTTACCTTTCCGATTGTAAATAAAGTTAAAGATTATTTCAAATATATCAATTCATTTCTGATTAAATCCGGCAAGATTCTTAAAATTTATTCATAAAAGGATTAAAGAAACTTATTATTCTATCTTTTGATTACTAAATAAATGAAAAGTAGCTCAATCCTTAAAAAAATTTTCCAGTTCAAAAGATTCCCACGTTAATTTACAAACGCTTTTTTATAGTTTTTAGTACATTGAAAAAAAAAATACTAAATCTTAATAGATACTTTTTTTAATAGTACCAAGTAAACAATTACAGTAAATAAATATTTATTCAATAAAAAAAGATAGTTAAATTAACGGTCTTATATCAAATAAATATGTTTACATTTATGCCTAAATTCTAAGCAGAATCGTAAGGCTCGTAACATATTCCTGTAAGACTGACTTTTTAAGTACTTATACCTTTATATTATTTTTACAGACAGCTTCTTACTAGCCATAAAATTTATAAGAGATCGTAGATATTTACAAATAATCGTACGTCTTACGATACATACGCATAAAATTAGAATACTAGTCAAAGGTCTTATATACAAGTTTTACGAGAACACGTTACGAGTCTTACGATTCTGTTTAGAATCGACTCATTAGTACCTAAATTCTTATTCATTCCAGAACTATTCAAACAAATATTTATTAAAATTAATATATTTTTTCCAGTGTGTTAGTCTATTTTGGTAAAAATATTGCAACATAATAGTTAATATTTTTTCTTTAACAGTGTAATATAGGTATTTTTTTTTTCAAGTTGAGGAGAGATCAAGGCCGCATCAAGACTCTTTCGTAGGAAGATATCGCGTCCTTGCAGGACAGTAGAATTTTACGAGGTCGAGTGCAGGAGCTTTGCGAAGTCGCGAATCTAATTATAGGCCTGCGAGAAGGTTTACTATGCTAATCAAGAGACGCGAAGTAAATGTCAACCCACATTCTGTTTACCTCGATGCTCGCGTCATCGCTTCGCGCGCGCGTTTTATGCGCGACACGTCGCGTCCTTACAAAAAGAAGATGTAACGAGGGCGACGTGATACAAAAGCCGGCAAAGTCCTCGTTAAAAGTGCTCGGCAAACGTAACGTGTGCGCCAACATCACGCCACATACATCTAATCGCGCGCGGATACTAAACCGCGTTGCATCACACACGCTGCTTATCTATAAGCCGCTTATCTAAGTAGAGAAAAAAAAATATAGAGGCACACGCACGGTGCTTTGCACTCGAGCATAATACAAGTTGTTTACATTCCTTGTCATCGGCGCGCGCCAATAAATTATAATCACGCAACTCCCATGCGAAACGTTACGTCTTCTTGCGACACTATATTATAAATATTCCATCCCGTATCCCCCACTGTTCATTGGCGGATTGGTGCGTACATCGAATGACAATCCTGGTCGTTTGGCGAACGACAGAGATATACAATTTCACTTGTCTCGTTATCCGGTGCTTCAAGTAGTCGCGAGTAAACGCACGACGTGTGCTGCTTGAGTATTATACTTGAGCACGCCACTGCACCGGGTATGCGGGTCGTGGCGTGATGTAGGACGACTGCGAGCGAATCGGCCGCGGCGAGCGGGAGGAACGGAGACGGATTATGACCGATTGCACGTAATAAAAGCGACATGCCATTCAGAGTCAATCAAGTGCCGCTCGCCATTGGTTCGTTGACTTTCTCTCCTTCGATTAACTTCTCACGCGTGCTTTTTTTTTTCGCCGTCTCGTTCGCACCGCTCGAATATACATGCCGTTTACTATACCAAGAGATTTTCGCTCTCTTAATGCAAAGGAAATACATCACCAGGGAGGGAGAGGTGGTTTAGCAATCGCCGAGTGCGGGACACGGCGAAGTCACGTTCACGGTGCGAATGGTAATGTAATCCAGAATAGAAATTGCCACGGCAATTTGTAGTTGGTTTCATGGGACACTCGCGTTCATCGCGGAATACACTGCTGAAAACTTTCTAATCACCATCCTGGATTTATATTCGCTTCTATGTAAACTGCGAAAAGCTATTGTACGAAAATAAATTTAGATATTAAAATAAAGATAACATATTTTATTTTATAAAAAATAATGTGACAACGTCTAATATCATCACCTAATGTATCACGTATTTGTGATATAATACTATAATTAGAGATAATATTGCAATAAATCAAGAAATTTTTGTTATCATATATAAATATGTGAGTTATCGATATATGGATAATTTATTCAAAATGAATGATAAGATAATATATCATTCAAAGTACGTAGTAAAGAAATATTCATATTCGTTTTGAAAATGGTCTTTAAATTCTTGTAAAAATATTTTGTATTGAATTTTTAACATATTCAAGTATTAATTTAACATAATGATTATGTTATTTAAATTATAAAAAAAATGTTCAACATTTCTTAGTGTCAAAATAACACAATTTGAGCAAATGAATAACATAAAAACAATGTGTCTTAAAACACAAATCTTAAGATAAATAAATAAAATGTGTTAATTTAATATATTAGAAATATTAGTTTTATTAAAAAAAAAATACGCTTCCACTTTATTTCAATTTATCTTCTTGTGTTTATTCTTTTAAATAATATTTGTGTCACCTTCTAACATATTCATCTTGTATCAAATTAACACATAAATTTGAATGGAATGGTTTGGGACACGCGAAATGTATTAAATTTCATACA